GCCTTGCTTTCCAATTCTAGAAATTAGGTCTGGTTCCACCTTAGCCTCACCCACTTTTACCCACAGGTGAGCTGGCTGTGGAATTCTCCGAAAATCCTGAACTCAAATATTCTTACCTTGACCTCTCCCCATTCTAGTTCCTGCCTTTTCATCCAGACTTCTGGACGCTGAATTCCCCCGTTTCCTTCTCTTTCTGCTTCCTCAGATGCCATGGTTAATCACCTGAACTGCTTTCTCGCTATCATCTTTGGCTGCCTTTTATCCTGGCCCTTACTTTTACCTGCCTGGCAAAACTGAAAACTCAGATGATTGTTTCAAATCATCTTCGCTGTTATATAGCATTGTGGTGTTGTAGGAACTGGAAGATATAAATTGTAGGCACTATCAATATGCAGGCTCAGAGCTCAGTGAAGCCCTATCAGCCACCAATATTTTCTCATAGTCTCCTGTTCCTAATTACAAACCACGTCCTTATTCCATCCTCCCGATTTCTTCCTGTTTCAGATGAATGGATTCTCTCTTTGTCATCAAGCCTAACTTCATCTCTGCCAGTTGACTCAGCTCCTTGACCCGGTTCATTAAAATAATATGGGGCGCCTGGGTGGCTCGGTCGGTTAAGCATCCGACTTCGGCTCAGGTCATGATCTCATGGTCCGTGAGTTCGAGCCCCGCGTCAGGCTCTGTGCTGACCGCTTAGAGCCTGGAGCCTGTTTCAGATTCTGTGTCTCCCTCTCTCTCTGCCCCTCCCCTGTTCATGCTCTGTCTCTGTCTCAAAAGTAAATAAACGTTAAAAAATAATAATAATTTTTTTTAAGTTTATTTATTTTGAGAGACAGTGAGTGCGCATGCATGGGGTGAGGGGCTGAGAGAGGGAGACAGAGAATCCCAAGCAGGCTCCGTACTGTCAGCACAGAGCCCAACGCAGGGCTCGAACTCACAGACTGTGAGATAATGACCTCAGCCAAAATCAGGAGTCAGATGCTTAACCAACTGAGCCACCCAGGTGCCCTGACCCAGTTTCTTTAGAAAGCTGTTCATCAACTACCACCTCTCCTGCATTTTCAACCTCTGGCTCCATACTGATGAATAAAAGTGTGTCATGAGCCTCTCTCCCAACCCTGCATTCCCCTCCAGCTATCATCTAATTGCTCCTTCAGAACCAAACCTTTGTTTAGGAACTATTTCAAACACACTGAAAACAGAGCAAAGAACCAGGTAACAAACAAGGATTTAACAAATGTCAACATTTTGCCACATTGACTCAGTTTTTTCTTTGCAGAAATAAAATGCCTCTGGATGTCTGGGTGGCTGTCAGTTAAGCTCCTGACTCTTGATCTCCGCTCAGGTCATGATCTCGAGGTCATGAGATCAAGCCCCGTGTTGGACTCTGTACTGACTGATAGCTTGGAGGCTGCTTGGGATTCTCCCTCTCTTTCTGTCCCTCTCCAACTCTCTCTCAAAATAAACGAGAAAGAGGAAGGAAAGAAAGAAAAGAAAGAAAAGAAAGAAAGAAAGAAAGAAAAAGAAAGAAAGAAAGAAAGAAAGAAAGAAAGAAAGAAAGAAAGAAAGAAAGCGAGCCTCAAAAAACTGGAAAGATCTGTCTACACAGCTATTTCTGCTTCTATCCTTCCACTCCCTTTTCAATCCACTATAATGTGGGTTCTGCTAAATGATTCCAAGAAACTGGAATCACTCATCACTTTCATTTAAAATGAATCATTCATGGCCTTCATTTAAAATGTAGCTGATGGGGTGCCTGGGTGGCTCAGTTGATTGAGCATCCAACTCTTGACTTCGGCTCAGGTCATGAGATCGAGCCCTCCATCAGGCTCTCTGCTGAGCAGGGAGCCTGTTTAAGATTCTCTCTCTCCATCTGCCTCTCCCCTGCTCATGCTCTCTAAAATTAAAAAAAAAAAAAAATTTTTTTTTAAGGGGCGCCTGGGTGGCTCAGTTGGTTAAGCGTCTGACCTCAGCTCAGGTCATGATCTCATGGCTTGTGAGTTCGAGCCCCGCGTCGGGCTCTGTGCTACAGCTCAGAGCCTAGGGCCTGCTACGGATTCTGTGTCTCCATCTCTCTGGCCCTCCCCTGCTTACGCTGTCTCTCTGTCAAAAAGAAATAAAAATTAAAAAAAATTTTTTTTAATAAAATAAAATGAAGTTGCTGCCCAGAACACAACCCCCAGATCACAGCTCTTTGAAAACAATTCTGTATCAGAGGTTGTCCAATCAATTTAGAGTGTCACTACTGGCATTAAAAAAAAAAAAAAAAAAAAAAAAAAAAAAAAAAAAAAAAAAGACATAATACAAATGCAGATTGTTTCATAAATCTCCTAATTGTAACTAATATAACGTGTATACTAGGTCACATTGCAAAATGTGTTTCTTACGGGAGTTGTGGCCAAACATTTGAAAGACATTGTTCTAAATTAGTGGTCTTCAAAATTTTGTTTGCATGAATGAATTTATCATTGTAAATTTAATTACCCACAGGGGGTTTCAAACAGATTGCAAACATCAGCATTGTTAAATAAAACTAAAAAAAAAATTTCTGGGGTGCCAGCTGGCTCAGTCTGTGGACTGTGCAACTTTTTTTTTAATGTTTATTTTGAGAGAGAGAGAGAAGGAGCATGCATGTGCACACACACACACAAGCAGCGGAGGGGAAGAGAGAGGGGGAGAGAGAATCCTAAGCAGTCTCCATGCTCAGTGAGGAGCCCAAGGAGGCGCTCAATCCCACAACCCTGGGACCATGACCTAAGCCAAAATCAAGAGTCAGACGCTCAACTGCCTAAGCCACTCAGGCACCCCAGAACTCAATTATTTGAACTCCTTCGAAGTTCTATGCCAAATCACATTGTGATCTACCACCAGTTTTTTAATTTAGATTTTCAATTACTTTTAGATTTACAGAAGCGTCACAAAGATAGTGCAAAGAGTTCCCCCACATAGCCTTAACCCAGCTCTTCCCCTAATGTTGACATCTTGAAGCATGGTACATTGATCAGAACTAAGAAATTAACATTGCTGTAAATACTATGAACTACAGACATTATTGATTTCACCATTTTTTCCCTCTAATGTCCCTTTCCTCTTCCAAGATTCAATCCAGGATACGTTGCATTTAGTTGTCATCTCCTCGTCTCCTCCAGAGTTTCTCATGTCTTTCATGATGTGAAAAGTTTTGAGGTGTACTGGTTAGATATTTTCTAGAATGTCTCAACTTGGATTTGGCTGTTTTCTCTTGATTAGACTGGGGTTATAGATTTGGGGGAAGAATTCCACAGAGATGAAGTCCTTCTCATTGCATCCTATCAAAGGGGCAAATGATATCAACCTGATTTATTACTGGTGGTGTTAACCTTGACCACTTGGTTAAGGTGGTATCTGCCAGTTTCTCTACTGTAAAACTTACCATTTTCCTTTTCCATATTCTATTGTTCAGAAACAAGTATCTAAATCCAGCCCACACACTCAATAAGAGGTGGGATTCAAGCTCTACCTCGGAGGAAGCAGTATCAAAGATTTTGTAGCTGTATGTTAAAACATTTAAAACTAGAGTAAATATTTTGGAGGAGATACTTTGAGTCTGTGCAAAGTATTCTGTTTCTTCTTCAAATTTCACCCACCACTTTTAAAATAATTATTTAAAATTTTAAAATAATCTATCAATTTTTCCGGGCACCCGGGTAGCTCAGCCAGTTGAGCATCCGACTTGGGCTCAGGTCATGATCTCCCGGTTCATGGGTTCAAGACCTGCGATGGACTGTCAGCTCGGAGCCTGTAGCCTCCTTCAGATTCTGTGTCTCCCTCTCTTTCTCTGTCCCTCCCCCGCTTGTGCTCTCTCTCTCTCTCTCAAAACTAAATATATAAACATTTAACAAATAATAATAACCAGTTTTTAAAATAATCTATCAACTGGTAACTCAATTAGGATCCCCTTCAATTTTGTTGAAAACAAATAATTGGGAACCAATTGGGAAATCCAAATACTTACATATTTCCAATTGTTCTTGTGTCTGGTGTCCCATAGGTTTGTACACCCTTGGGCAAGACACCATAGTAAGATTTGATTCACGATTGGAGAGAGGTATGCCTTTTTTTTTTGTAAAGTGGGAGAAAAGTGTGTTCTCGGGCGACTCTGTAAAAATTAGGATGTACACACTGATTTTCTGAAAACTCTCCTGGCCTCTCCTTCTAGAGGTTTATATTCTTGAGTTTGAAGACTCTGAATAAGTCTACTCCAGTGATTTCACCTACCAATACTGAGGTTGATTCCTCTCTTACCTTTGGTCGCTACCTGTTCCTTCCTCTAAGGACAATCTTCTCTCAACTGGAAAGTCCTCCAGCACCTGGCTTCCTAACTCGGGCTTCATTTTCCTCCTCTTAAAATATTAAGTGGCTTGCAGCTTCTAGAACACACATTGCTGCTTACCTCTTCCGCCTGGTTGGAACATCCCCTCTCCGGTCCTCACCTATGTAGCTGGGACTCTGGACTCCTACTTTCTAGGCTAAGTAGCCACTTGAAAACGTGCCCAAAGTGGCAGATCACCACGGCAGTAACGAACTGCTTCTGGGGCGGGAGGGCAGTGAGTGCTAGTGTTTGTAGAAGACATTTCCTACATTTAATGGTGAGGAACGTTTGCAATGCACACCACAGCCTTCAGAGTCCGTAGGCACCCAGCGCTCTCAAGGCGCCTCATCAGCGCTGATTTCCAGTGTCGGCCACGAAAATCACAACATCCAGCCCGGAAAACGAAGTGAGCCCTGGAAGAAACCAAACTAGTACCTCCGCCTTCTCCTAGCTCTGTGGCTACCACTCCAAATCCCAGGACCCTGCCCGCCTCCGCCTGCCCGACCTTAAAGTGGGCCTGGAGGGCCCATTCGTCAAGGCAAGCGGTGGACCCACCAAACGCGTTTACTGTTTGAAGATTACAAAGCCAGTCAGCAACTCACGCGAGACGGAGAGCGTATTCTCACGAGAACTCTGGGAGGCGGCAGTGATGGCGGCGGCGGGAACCGGACCGGGACCTGGAGTGGATGCAGGACCCGGCCCAGCAGCGGCAGCAAATGCAACAGTGGCAGAAGAAGGGGAGACAAAACCGGTGGTAGCGGTGGCAACTGCCCCGGCTGGAGAGGGAACATCTGTTGCTCCAGCAGCAGAACCCGGTTCTGGAGAGGCAGAAAGTGGGTAAGATGTCCTGCAGCCCGAGGGGGACACTGGGAGGGAGGCCCACCCCTCCTGGAGTCCCGCGGCTCCCGGGAACTCTCCTGCCGCACTCTCCGAACCTAGGCCCTGCAGCCAACGGCTCACCCTGCGCCCCCCCCCCCCCCCCCCCCCCCCCCCCC